AGTTACTTCTTTGCATGATCTACACCTCCATGTATAGAGTTACTTATTTTCAAATTGATTACTTCCTTCCTTCCTTTGGAAGATTCCCTCATACTTTTTTTGTATCAAGATGGAGTAGTAGAAAGCCAAAAACTTTCTTTCCCAAAAATTACCGATTTCTTTTGGCCTGAAGTGGATGATCTGACCACCAACAACATGCGGTTACAATAGGATGGCGCTACATGCCACACAGCTCTTGCCACAACTCGGATATTCTGCATGAGCGATTTGGAGGCATGGTCATCTCATGTAGAGGTGATGTGAACTGTGGAGGTCATGTGAACTGGCCAATGAGATCGTGCGACTCGACCCCGTTAGACTTTTCTTGTGAGGTTTTCTTGAGTCGCATGAATGCGATGTATGCGAATAAGCCTCAAAGCCAACATAACCCATGCTACTGGTAAAATTCAGCCTGATTTATGTGCCAGAATCATGGAAAGTCAGACGTTTCGGATACGTTCCACCCAGGGAAGCCGTGGCGAACATTTGAACGACGATCTTCACATGATGGCATCAATAGGTCTGTCGAACGAATAAAAAATTTCGAATATCTCACACTCACTTTATTTTATTCAAGTTTGAAGGAGGGAGCACCTATACATCCAAACTCACTGAAACTAATAAAAATCTTCAATATTCACCTCCCTAATTCCAAATCAGGGGAAATATCTTCAAAAAGATGTTATCCCTTAATGTTTTAGGAAAGTCAAATATTTTTTGCAGATCAACTCTCCAAGAAGTAATGAAATCGGGTCAGAAAAACTTTGTATTGGATTGCCCAATTCAACATCTGACAGAGTTATTGTCACAAATTCAGCAAATAGGAATGTTAACAACTGATTATAGTTTTTTACTGACCAACATTGATGCTCATACAAAGGCTCATACAGGAGAATTAACCCCCTTCATGTACAGTGAAGCAACTATAACAGGGGTGAGTGAAAATTCCGCTTTCTTGGGTTTGAAAAGTTTTTTCCCTTTTTTGGGAACGGATTGGTTTGTTGGTTTTGGGTTTTTGTTTTTTTTGTTTTTCCCCTTAATTTTACCCGGGGACCCCAGACGTTTCTTTTCGTTTGGTTGACTTGCTTCCTTTTTTTTTAACAACTAAGTATTTTCACTAATTTTCAATTTCTATGCTATGATCGATGAAAAGGTTTTTGTCCAATATGTGTGCGACTTCTCATCTGAAGAAAATTGGAATATTGCATTAACGTTCGGTTTTTTCCATCAGCACTAGTCGAGATTGATTTTCTTCATTTTTGTTTCTTTGTACTCTTCCACTAATATTTATTCTATTCTCTTCTTGGTATATTTATTCTGCTTCAAATCGTACGTATTGCTGCAAAGATCAACTGTTTATCAATCAACATTTTGAGAAAACTCTTCTTCATAGACTCAAAATTCGGGTACCACCTTTCTGGTTAGAGACGATAATTCAATTTCCGTTTTCTTTTTCACTGCGACTTCCATTAAATGCCTCATACTGTTGAGCTATTGCAAAATTTCACTTACTTTCAGATTTCTGTGGTACATAATATGAATGTGTCTTCCATGTATATCAACGAGGTATGGGTCCTCTTTTCAGCTTCCTCCAAAGCCGGTGCTTCAAACCATCATATGCTTATGTTGACTGTGACCGGTGACGGTGACGATTCCATTGGATTTCATAGTTTTGTGTGACCATATCGTCCTTTTGTTACTTCGTTATGACTGCAAGATTTTCATATCTCAATGTGAGTGTTTTCCTAACAGATACATTAGTGTCAAATTCTCTCTATTTCGTAACTGGAGACTTATTATACAACTATTTCTGTGACTTCGATTTTTTTCAAGATCTTGGCCTTACAGTTTTTCCAGATAAACACATTTTACGTTAGGCCTAGCCTACTTGTGGGTTGAAGAATTCCGAAAATGATGATCAGTCGGAAATAAATATTCATCTCATGATTCTTCGATAGTTCATGAAGTTGAGACAGCTTCTGTGGTACGATGTCAACGCTGAGCTGCCATTTGTCAAGTGAACTTCTGTACTTCTTCAAATCGTTATCATGCCTATGCGGTGGAATGTCATGAAAGCTTCTTGTATTTCCCTTTCTGGAAGATGTCTTTGATCTCCTGCAAGTAGATGTCTCTGTTCATAACAATGGTGGTGTTCCTTAAATTTCCATATAAAATATTTGGAAAGTTATCAATCAAAGTGTTTTATCATTATATCATGTTTTGTTTACGTTATTCTGGATAACTATGACTAGTTTATTCATTTATAGGTTCACATCATGAAACCAGAAGATGATCTATCGACACGAGTAAGTAAAGAACTCTGTCATCTGTACAAAGTAACTTTCAACGAGGACTGTGGATCGAATTCCCTCCACGACTACCCAGAACTGGATTCGGAAACAGCTTCTATTATCGACGCTGTTCACGTTTTTTCGGATGCACTAATAGAAGCAGGTGTCAATGAGAGCCAATCTCTAGACTGTGATGGGGTAGACAGTTGGTCACATGGTCTCACTATTATCAATGTCTTGAAATCAGTAAGTAAATGAACTATTTGGGCTATCTGATTACGCCAAACTCATCAGCACAATAATTCCATGGTCGTAGTCCATATGTAGTTGTTGAGTCTAGTCCCTCCATTTGATAAGTGTGAATCTTGGTGTACCCAGGGTTCGATATTAGGTGCTCTATTATTTACAATCTACACATCAGAAACTCACGATACTGTTATTCATTATTTCACGCCGACGACATCCAGATCTACCTAGGCAAGGAAATGAAACACACCATGCATGCAAGCAACCTCAACGCGATTTCTGAAAAACTGTCTACAAATCAAATATTTCAAAACCAGGCAATGTTATTCGGTTGAAAGAGAATCAGGTACGAACATTTTGATAATATATTGATAACAAACCTCTAAAATAACCTCGCTGCGAAAGGAATCTAGGATTGATGATGGATGAGACCTTTTGTTATTTGGACCATATATCACTACTCGTAAAACGAGCTTTCTGCAATATCAATCTTATTTTCATTTTTCGATTGATGTGTGGCATAACTCGTAGGAATCCTAGCCCAGCCTACCCACAACAACTTGAGGTATTCATTATGGAAAACATAATCAATATCACAAAATTATTCGTTCTCGATAGCCCTTTCAGAATAAATTGATCGGGGTTTGAACTCCACTGCAGAACACTTCTTTCCAAAGATATTCAGCAAAATGGTAAGGTTGATTAGGTCAAAAGTGAGTGGTTCTATGCGACCCTCTACCGCAACCCGCGGTTTATTGTGGTTCGCACCTATTCAAACTCGACCAAATAAACCCAGCTTCTTAACGAAGCCAATTAGTTCATATGGTGAGTGATATTTCAGGTCAAATGATCGTAGTTCATCCCTACTGTAGTCCAACAACTGTTTAGTTTCAGGCTTCGGAGGGTGAGTAAACGCCTTGGAGTGAGCCCATCCTGGAAGATTATGTCAGAAGTCCATAAATCTTCTTGCCATCCAGGTGTTCAATCTTTGTTTAGCAAAGCCTAAAGCGATGCCAATGACCGGTTCTGGTCCGATGAAGCTGCTTGCAGTATCCTTCTTTGCAAGGGAGTCAGCAGCCTCATCGTCTTCCAGGCAGGTATGGCCGCCAGGAATCCAGACCAGAGACAATTCGTTAAGTATTGCCATTGAGGGGAGCATAATACAACAAAATCGAATCATCTCTCTCGGGCACCTCACCACAAATATATGTAACAGGTTTCCTCATAACTTGAAAACACAAAATGATATCGGTTTCAAGAAGAAACTGAATAAATCTCTACTCGCTAAAACTCTCAATTAACATTTTGGTGGTACATATTTTTGTGATGTACTGTTTGGAACCTTTGGTGTAGTAATGAATATTACTGGAGTTTTTCCCCAACACCAAATCGTTATTTTTACACCTCGACACTTGGTGATCACTTGGTGATCGAAACACGTGTCGAGGTGTAAAAATAACGATTTGGTGTTGGGAAAAAACTCCAGTAATATTCGGTACATATTTTATTTAAAGTTCTCACTGTTGTTAGATTCAATTGTATTTACAATGCTTCAGTTGGTGTTATTGCTTCCAGTATCGCCAAACAAGTAGGTTTTGTATTTCGTCGTCTCAAATTTTCAGAGATGTGCTTTGATATTTTCACAGACTTTACTCAAGTTTGCAGACGTTCGTCAAAAATTCTTCCTGTCACAATAATTTCTTCAAGATAGACTAGGCATATTTTCCAGGTGAGTTCTCTTAGCAATAACTGCATCAAGCGTTCATCTTTCTATCTTCTGCGTTTCGCATCTACGACAGACTGGCTTGCAAAACTTCAAACACTTACGTAAGTTCTTTCATCTCGTGATCGACACTTCTTTTTCATCATGAAACAGGAAATGTTCAGTCTATTCCACCACTACACTGAAAATACAACACAATAACTCCTATTGAACTTTAGACTAATGCTAGACTGTCTGGTGGAACAACTCTCGAAAAGACACGCTGTACTAGTATTTTCAAGAGAAAATACACGGGGAACTGAGTGTGACTCTGACTGAGTCGCAGTTGGTCAGATAAGGGGATCAGTTACGTATCCTAATTATAATTCATTTAGGACAATAGACAGCAGAATATTTGTTTTGATTGGCTTCCGGGTTTTGCCGTGGTCTTCTTTGGTTATGATCTCCAAACATTCCAACTGAAACTGCGGCAGTCATCTCCAGTGGCGTAGTTGAAGCTCTCTTCTTGACGTGTCAACTGAAACTGAAGCTCTAGTACTAGTGAATCATCTTGATCTCAAACAGGATGGAGCCAGGCTCCCTTACCCTCACAACTGCGTTCATCAGAAGGCCAAATTGTTCATGACTGAATCGGTTACGGAAGACATGAGGGCTTCATTGACAGAGTGTCGGGGCCTTCTATATCGAGAGGGATCGTGTATAGTATAATCTATAGCTTCTCTGACTAACGGATTATCATGAGTTTCCGCGCAATCAGGAACTCGCCGATTCCTCTACTGAATGAACTGCTGAATAGAAGGCAGCTGCAAATCTCTGCGAATGGCTTCATTTCGCACGAATCATAGAGCATTCACAATCATCCGTTTCAACTTATTTTGAAGTTTCTCCAAAATAGAGATATTGCTCGAAACCGCTTGTCCCCAGAAGCCTGGAGTATACATGATGGCAGGCTTGAGCATCGTGTTATATGATCTTCTATTGATCAGAGTGTACAGACTCCGATCCCGATTCAATCTGCGGATTCCAGGTGAGCTTACGGTCTATTAGAAGGCCGAGGTACTTTACCCGCGCTTGCCAGTTGATCTCTCTTCCAGAAACCCTCACTTTCCTAGCTGAAGAAGATATCGTTCTTCCCATGGTTATCGCCTGAGTCTTTTCCGGGTTCACTCGGATTTTCCATTCGAGGTACCAGCGCTCGAGGTCGTCCATTGCACGTTGCATGTAGACTCTCCCGAGCTCACGACCAATGGAAGATGAGAGGAGAGCCGTATCATCGGCGTAGAGAGACATCTTCGCTCGCTTGACCTCGGGAGTTCGCTGATGTAGAGCGAGTATAACGTAAGAGAGAGAACTGAAGCTCTAATTTCTGCCGTGTCATTTATAGTGCTGCTTTTCCGCGCCAGCTATGAAAGTCTACATTCCCATAGTAAAATATCTTTTCAACTTTTCTATTTTTAGGGAACATACAAAGGTCTCACTGGTACCATAGAGTTTGGTAACGATGGTTTTCGTAGAACTTTTCAGCTGACCATTTTCCAACTGTTACAAGGAAGCCTGATAGATAGGGGAAGTTGGAACACAACATCAGGGATTGACATGGAAATTGATATACGCGCGATGGATGCCGAAGATAGTGAAGAAAGTATGGTGAACAAAAAATACGTGGTTTTGATATCACTGGTAAGATAATGATTAGTAGGAAATTCAGAAATAGTTTTGAAGTTGTACTGATTTTAGACAAAACCATATGCCATGTTGAAAGAAACTCCAGAACGTTTGATTGGAAATGATAAATATGAAGGCTTTGCGATAGATTTGATTGGGGAAATCTCTAAGATAGAAGGATTCCAATATACCCTCAAAGTAAGAGAAGACAATAAGCATGGAGTATTTGATGCCATGTCTGGAAAATGGACTGGAATGATTGGAGATATAATAGAAATGGTAGGTTTTATCAGAAAATGAAGTGACTAAAGAAGGAATGGAAGCTTTCTTACTTTTTTTGGATGTTTGTCACATTTTTTGTATAAAGATGAAGAAGTAGAAAGCTAAAAGTTTCCATCTCCAAAAATGAATTCATTATTTGATCCAATTCAATTTTGAAAAATATAAACAAACTTCTATTTACAAAAAGTTACACTATGAACTAACAGTGATATTATTGTTTATTTCATTAATTTTTTATATATCTAAGATGTAAGTTGAATATTTGCTTTGTAGGAAGTCAAATGAGTTAACTTTCAGGTACTTTTCAATATTGCCAATTATTAGAAATTGGCATAAATACATCTTGAATATATTCTAGTATATCTTCCAAGATTCAAAAGTCACTCAAATAGTAGAAGAATAATGTTAATCACGAAACGAAATGGTAATAAACTATAAACTTTGACGTCTCAATTTGGATTAATGCATTCTTCATTCATGTTCTCTATTTTTTTACCTTGTTAGTATTTTCTGACATACATTATTATGGTTCATCACTCTTGGTCAATATGACATACATCGTTATGAATTGTTTGAAGGAATTAGACTCCACATTTCCAATTCAGCGAATGATAAATTTCAACTTCTCAATTGTAATTAGAGTACAACCTGTATCAGACTGAATCTGTATCTGTAGAGTAGGGAGGGTGAGTATAGGCCACATTTGACTCATTGTACATCCTCCCGAGGAGTTGTCCTCCTAGGTCATCGTCCATCCTGTCCTTTCCGGGAAGGTGGACAGGTCACTAGGAGACATCTCCTTTATATCCAAGACTTGCTAAGACTCGCCGAACACACACTCTACTCCAGACACTCGCATAGGACATGCCTGACAGTTTCTTCTTTCTGTTCACACATCCTTCATAGAGATGTGTCGATCGGCGCCAGCTTCTCTGGGTCGCCCAGGGTGATCCTGGCAAGACTGCATCCTTTGATTGAATATAATTGAAATTTTGTATCGATATAATTGTTGTTCATGTTGATGTTCACTACTTTCTAGTTAATGCTATTTGTTACTTCACGAAATTCATGAAGATGGGTTCTATAGAATCTAAAATTGTAAACGCGCAATTCCAATTCACCGTTTTGAATTATTCGATACCAATTTATTCTCTTTTTTTTTCAGGAAGCTGATATGGCGATATCTGATCTAACAATCACTCAGGATAGGTTGGACCCTGTAGAGTTCACCCAGCCTTTCATGAGCACAGGTTAGTCTTGATTCCTTCAAAATGAAAACTTGAGCTCAAAAAACTTTGTTGTTATACCAGAGTAGGAATGGAAATCACAACATGTGATTTCCGTTTCTGAACTGTCAAAATTTTGTTTATGAAATTCAATTTCATGAAACCTCATTTTGAACAATTTTAACAACTTGATTTCTCCGAATTGTTAATATAATCTAATTGATGATGATGTAGAAGAAGATACAGACGAAAACATATTGAAGTTCATCCTAATTCTGATTTTATTCAGATCGAGGTTCGTATACAGGCTGATTCACGGTGGATGGCACATTAGACGTTTCTGGTGAACCAGACAACGGATCACTTTGAAAATTTGTTCATCCTAATTCTGATTTTATTCAGATCGAGGTTCGTATATATCTGCAAATCCTACTGTCGTAATTGTCATTATTTCAAATGCTTCGCAATTGTATGCAATAGAATACCATCTAAAAGTTACATGATTCAATACTTACATACAATATGGTTCACCTAATGAACTTTTACTATTTGAGTATATCAAAAACCAACAAAAAACCAACTTGAAACACAAAATCATTTCAAAAATCATCATTGGAAACAACAAAACTTTTTTTCATATGTATACAAACAAAATCTTAAAAATTATCCCCAGTGTAAACATTGTATGTTACTAATTTTTCCTAAAGGTTTAGCTCTGTCTTCGAAGCCCCAATATCACTCCTCACACCGTGGGGAAAGTGATCATTGGGTCTGTGAATCATGTGCTCTAAACAAACTTTCCGCAACTGGATGAAAAGTACAATGCCCGAAAAAAGTTAGGAACTGATAAATGGATATCGATATTTCATACGTTTTCCTCCACTTTCCAGACGATATTCGTCTCGATTGGAGATGAAAACTCCACTACGAATACCGTCTGGCTCTGATAGTCTAGTCTAGAACTACATAGGGCTTATTGTTTTAAACTGAAGGTAGGGAATAAATAGCTCCAATGAATTTGACATTTCTCACTCTCCAAAATAGATCCAATATACCCTTCCCCCAGCATAAGGCAACACCGTTGTCTCGTCAATACCGTAAGAGTGCCATAGGAGGTTATAAAGCACTCTAAGAGCTCATCATCATTATTATGTATTGAATGGGTCGGTGAATCACATGCGAGGATTTCTCATGATCATGCAGATGGTTTTTATTGAATTTGACCTCACCAATACTCAAAAATGAGTTTTGATAGAACTGGCTAGTCTATGTGGGCTTCACAATTTAACAAATAACGTTCAGTTCCTCTGTTATTTCATTCCAAAAAGCTTTTGGACAACGGTGAGTACAATTTGACATGATTTAACCAGAATGAAATCACGTGAACTTTATAGAGCTTTGTATTTTCGAGTTTTCTGCTCCAGTGTGATGCTTTGTTCTCATTTTCAACAAAAAACAACAATAACTACACATCACGTTACTTTAAGTCAAGTGAGAACAGCATGTGGATTGGTATAGACATTGTAGTAGAGTTTGGCAAAATTTTACATCGATTTCCTTTTTTCTTTCTACTGCCTTCCTCGAAGAAAAATGTTTTTTGAAAGTGACAGAAAAACGAGGGAGGTAAAAGTGAAAGGGGGTACTCCTTCTTTTGAAAATGAAAATAGCGGTCCTAAATTAATCAGGCAGGTACTCAACTTTTGACCGGTAAATAGATGACGTTTCCCGACGTTACGAGTCGCCAATTCGTCCCCGGTGTTTCGACCCCATTTATTTCGATTCCAGATAATATGTAGCCACGACCGTTTCGACCGAGGTTAACAACCAACTAAGATACATACATTCGGTCGAATCATCTCCGGTGAGGCTAAAACGGCTTCAGACTCGAATAACCAGCTTCAGACAATAATAATTAAAGAATTTAAGAAGAGCTCACTTACTCATTTCAGGTATCAGCATCCTCTACCGCAAACCAATGGAAACACCTCCTGAGTTTCTCTACTTCGCCGAACCATTTTCAGTAGCTGTATGGCAAGCGTTAGGATTGTCTTATTTGGTACTCGTTTTCACATTATTCATAATTGGAAGATTATCTTCAAGTGAATGGCATCAACGACAGAACAAGAAATATATGGTTAATCAATTATCGCTATCGAATTCTCTGTGGTTTGGTGCAGGAAGCTTTTTCAGGCAGAATACGAACGTGAAGATAAGGTACTGCATGATTTCTTTGTTGACGTATAAAAAAGAATTGCAAGTTTTGACTCAGAATATTTCAAAAAATAAGTTTGTCTATAAATTTCAACTCCTGTAAAAATCACTATTGCATTGTTTCTAATGTTTTTCGAAATGTAAATTTTTTTTCACAGGATGATTTCAATTCAAATGAATCGGTAACACATATTTTATTGACATGGCTTGAGTGGACCAAAATCTAAGATTACCTTCTTTCCATACTCTTCTAAATCCATACTCTTTCGAATACAAACGTACAGATAAGTTGTTTTAATACATGCTTTACTAGCAATACAAAATAAAATAAAAAAATTAGAGTACAAAGAGTACAAGTTAAATAATTACGTAACATGAATAACTACTTTACGTGCTTTTTTGAATTCATCAAAAAGTCGGGAATTACACCTAATCATTGAATATGCTTGTATTGTGCCTATTCTCTCAATTTAAATGAATCCTTACGATTATAGAAAACAAAAAGTTTTCATATTATAGGTTATATAATATATTGGAGAGAGAAGGTAAATGCCATGGACCAAAGAAAGAAGTGAGAGCGGGTATTTCATGAATGCATAATTTCTCTATTGATGATCACATGAAGAATTACCTATATTCTGATACGAAATATTTCAAAAAATTTGTTAAGAAAATACAACTTCTTTAGAAAATAGTAGTGTATTGTTTTCTATGTTTTCCAAAATGCACACTTTATTTGAATGGAATGATTTCATTACAAATTTCTGAAATTATTTGAATTATCACTTCACTTCTGTAAAAAATACACATGTCAAAAAAATGAGGTGAATTTTTATTTATTTCAAAAAATATTAATTTATCCACCAATTTCTATTTATTTCCCTTCTAAGTAGTGTTCAAAATTCAGCAATTTTCCAATGAACTTCGCTGCCAGACACTATGTGTAAACCTTAAGAAACTGATGAAGATATTGGAGAGTTATGGCATAAGAGGTATACCATTAAACTGGATTTCATCCTTTTCAACAAAGAGGAAACAAATAGTAACGCTCCAGTTTCAACATAATATTCAAATCAAAACCATACGCTCGGATAGTAGAGAAATCGAAATGGGCGTTCCACAGGGATCGATCTTGGGTCCAATTCTATTCATTTTGTATGTGAATCATTTTGACGCGATTATTGGTACTGCTGATTATAGTGCAGATGATGAATTAATTAGAATTTTGAAATCAAAAATTGAACGCTGTGAGACCAATGTGAGAAAAAGTACACGACGGTGTACGCGGTTGGGTACGACTGCAAGTTTGTGGTTAGTGTACGGCGGATGCCGTTCAGCTGAAACTGAACATATCTTCGAGACGAGTATACCAACATTGAAAAATGAAAAAAAAAACACTAATCGAATGTACATAGCCCTCGGAATTTGAACATTTACTCAGCTCACTTATTGTAAATCATTGCATTGATTGGTCACACATATTCTCCAGATATGGCTTGATAGCACTAAAATCTAGGATAACCTCTTTTCCATATTCTTCCAAATCACTGAAACTCACAAGCCTCATCTGACATTAATCATTTGTTACAGCAAACTGAAACAGACATTGGTATCTCTCAGGGATCTATATTAGGGCCAATTCTGTTCCTGTTCTATATTAATGATTGGGATAAACATTCTTTACCTGCATTCTTCACAATGTACGCTAATGATACGTCGTTAATTATATTTGAAAAAGCCGACTGAAGATAGTAACATTTTTTCCCAGTGTTTTTCTATAATTTTTTTTTTCAGTTCTCTGTCATCAAAAATTATTTCATGCTGTTGGTGGACAGTCTGCTTCTTTACTCTGGCAATGTACATTGCTTTTTCGATATCTAGGAGTTCTACTCGTATATCTAGTAAAGAAGTTATTTTCAATGATGTCAATGAACTAGTAGAAAAAGCAGAAAGCTACGGAATAAAATTCGGCGCATTGAAAGGAGGAGCAACCGAAGCTTTTTTCAAAGTAAGTTTTTTTTGAGAAAATTATTCAAAATGAATCTACAGAACTCTTCTCATGAAGGTATGAGGTGGAATTGTTTCCATCTTTTATATATTTCATGGACTGCAACGGTTTGTTTGAATGTTTTTTGGAGAGAATATCTAAAGAGTACTGAATATATCAGCATGAAAGAAAGAAAATATGACTTTTCAGAAACTTTGCTATTTATGTTCCTCAAAAGCTTTGGACATATATAGAACAGACATATCGATAATTATTTTTCAGTACCATAAGGTATGGTACATGGTTCAGCTCCAAAAACTCAAACACGCATTTTCACACTTTCAGGTCAGATTTTCCAAGAAACCTGACTTGTCAAGTCAACTCTTAAGTTTCCGAATACATCAGGATACCAAAAATCTTCTATTTACTTCGCCGCTAATCTTGAGACGAATTTTTTAAAGCTTATGATCTCTTTCGAAATGTCAATTACACATGTTATATATAAAATGCTCGTGTCACAGTGTTAATTGCCATAGTCCGCGGAAATAGCTTGACCGATTTTCATAGAATTCCATATGTATATTCCGGTAGGTCTGAGAATAAATTTCAATCTATTTTTCATACCCCCAAGTCATAAAGGTGTTCCACCTCAAACATTTATTTAAATTTTTTTAACATTTTCTTTTAAATTTTTTATAATGCGTCATTAAAAATACATATAACCCTCAATGTCCATCCTTCTATCACCAACCCCTATTTTTATAGTCATTTACTCAGTTTTAACCCTGATCATACATCAGTGTTTCCCGCCAGGCGTCTACCGCTGTTACTTCTCACTCAGTAAATAGCACGGAGTAGGGTCTCCTGTCTTTTTCACATAATAAGCATTTTTTCACTTCCCACACAGTTTTTGGCCACTATTATTGTTTATCCATCGAAAGTAGATGCAGTTTGCGTTGCCACCGAAGCTGAGGATTATTTTATTTGCCAGGCATACCAACGCGTAATTTACAGCTGGAGTTTGGGTCGCTTCGTAATTTGAATCCACCACGGCTGTGCAACGGCACACGATGACTCATTAAAAAGATAATTGAGAACGTTGTCAAAGCCAGCATTTCAAATGACAAATTCCGAAGTGAAAATATATGAATACCACTAATCCCTGTTGCACCTACAGATGTGCCAATTCATTTTGAACGTGCGCAATTTCCTATTAGATTGTCATTTGCAATGCGATTGATAAGTTTCAAGGCCACACAATATATGTTTGTGGCTTGAATTTGAGCACACCATGTTTTTCCCGCATACCATACCATATGTGGCATGCTCTGGAGTGAGCAAACCATCCAGTTTGTTTGTGTTAGCTAAACATGGACTAACGAAAAATATTGTACACACTACAGCATGAAAGAATGAATATTTATTGTTTGTGAGTGTTATTGTTATGATAGAAATAATTTATGTGGCAAAACAACGTTTGCCGGGTTAGATAGTTATAATATATAATTGTTTTTAGAGTTCTTCATCCGAAGTTCATGAAGCTATATCCACCTACATGGAAGAACATCCAGAATATATGACTGTATCAACAGACGAAGGAATTCAAAGAGTAGAGCAGGAAAATTATGCTTTTTTCATGGAATCAGCTACGATCGAATATGCCGTCAAGAGGCACTGCAGTTTGTCTAGTTATGGTGGCTTATTAGATAACAAGGAATTTGGAATAGCTGTTAGAAAAGGTGAGTTCAATGCCTGTCTTTTCAGAATGCTACCTGGTTCTTGGTCCATGAACTGTATTCAGACCTCAAACCTTTTCAAGAGGGTTATACAAAAATACCTTCCTCAGTTTATAGGATAGTAAAACTTTTTGTTTTGGTTGGTGTGCCTCACTGACATGGGTGGTTTTCCTGAGCTACATTCTGTAATCTTGAGCTTACATCAAAGATCAACACTAGCCCAGATGATGACACAAATTTCCAGTAGAGAAATTATAATACACCATCTACCATCAACATTTTGCGTCCCATTTCACAGTCGATTTTTTGAGAAAGGCACCACCCACTATTTCCACACTAGAATCCACAATGCCAGAAATTACTTTTCGACGGCATCTAGGCGTCAACAAAACGTCTGGCCCTGATGAGGTGCCCGTCATCGTGCGCAAATGAACTCGCATCAGTATTTTGCAGACTTTTTAACCTGTATTACAACACAGGAGTTTTTCCTACTTGTTGGGAGATTTCTCGCGTTCAGCCTATTCCCAAAAAAGGGAAAAAGAATCTTCCAAATAACTATAAACCAGTCACTTTGCTATCAGTGATATCAAAAATCGTTGAGAAAGTCGTAAACCACCATATCCTCAAATGATTGGAAGGCTTCAACATCTTGAGCGAACATCAATATGGCTTTCGGAAACAAAGATCAACAGGCAACCTTCTATATTATGTCACCCATATTTGCTGACCAAAAGTCGATGCTATGGCTTGTTGGGTCATTTCTATGTATGGCTCTTCAGCTTCCTGAAAGAAAGTACCCTGCAAGCGGCCGTCGATGGATATCTCTCAAATACTTCCACCATCAAAGCTGGTGTTCCTCAGGGATACATATTGTCTTCAAACCTCTTTTTATTATATATCAACGACTCATTGGAAAAAAGCAATAACCCAATATATTGCTTTGCTGACGACAGCACACTTGTCTGGTCATTCCACTTTCATTCCACTTTCTGCTTCGATAAGTTGGTTGGGGGTTAAAATAGACACCAATATGTCTTGGTACAATCATGTCACTCAACTTGTAGAGCCTGCTTCTCATAAGCTTGGAACACTGTTCCGAGCCAGAAAACTGTACACACCTCAGCAACTGTTGATGCTTTATAAAGCTCAGATCAGACCTCCTTTGGAGTATTGTTCTCATGTATGGAGCTCTGCCCCCAAACATACCCTGAAGTTGCTGGATTCCATCCAGGAAAAAGCCATCCGTCTGATTGGAGACGAGAACATCACGTGCAACCTTGATAGCCTAGAACATCGAAGAAAGGTTGGAGATTTGTCTCTCTTCTATAGATACTTTCACAGGAGTTGAAGTGACTTGGCACATTTGATTCCACCAAGAGCGGTACATATCAGAAATTCGCGATCGACTGTGGCTGCTCATCGTTTTGAGATTCAACTTAGTACACCTCAAACTTCACTGTTTAAGAACTCTTTCATCTGGAGAACTGCGTATATGTGGAATAAACTTCCCGAGAAAGTTTTTCCAAATGGATTCAATCTCCAGCGATTCAAATCCATGTGAATCGCTTCTTTCGCACAGGCACCGCTCTAAGAGCACCTTAAGGATTTTCCTGTAGTGCTTGCGTTTTGTCCTTGAAAAAATATATACTCGTATGTTTCGAAATGAGGAATATTCTCCAATTCAAATGGCGTTTTATGCAACTGAACTACACTGCTGAAAGGCTTATTATAAACTCACCAGGTTGCTCAAAGTACAATTAATAGAATGAGTTATGTCGCAAAGAGTATCAAATCATTTAGGGTTTTGTGACACCACGTTTGATAGGTATCTCTATCCAACACTCTTTTATTTTCGGAAATCCGATGGGCTGTTTCAAAGTAATGAGCCGTTTTGTTTGCGTTTTAAGGATCAAAGGACAAACAAACTTCAGGAAAAGTGAACTGAAAACTCACTTCACTCAATCACTCATTCATCATTTATCAATCACTCATTTCTCTCTTGCGGTATGTTTCAGGTTCAACAATACTGAATCCTCTCAATAAGGCTATTTTGAAACTGCACACTTCTGGTGACATTTTGAGACTCAAGAGAAGATGGTGGGAGGAACGAAATGCGGGAGAAACCTGCGACGTGAGTATTAGGTTGTTCCAAAAGTTTTGTCCGTTTCAATGTCATGTGCCTCAGCTACATACTGATCGACAGAAAATTTTGTAAGCTATACATTGGTGCTCTTCATTTCATTCCAAATTTTTGTTTTTTTTTTCCTATTTTCAGTATATTACTGTATGATGTCGTTAAGCGATTTCCGGCAAAACTTAACCTACGAATTTGAATTGAGCCAAATGCAACCACGCATTTGGCAACGAGATCGCTTTGTAATTCTCGTTCCGAAGATTTTAACTTCGAAGATAAACCACGAAGTGTTTTTCCTGACGATTTGAGCACAATTGTGGAGACTGACGGTGCGCGGGATAATGGAAGAACTGGGTATCACCTCCCATGCGGTTTTTGATGGTTTTGGATGCATTGGAAAGGTCAAAAATCTCAGAAAGTGGGTGCCAAATGACAAATTTTCACGTTGCAAGGTATAGAAGATCCTTTTATATGTCTCGGATCATCACGTGTAATGAAGAGTGGATACAACAAGTGACGTTCAGTACAAATCACCGATGAGCCACCCAGGTACTTCCCTAGGGCGAGAACCCAACAAAAAAGACCATGTTTACTGTTTGTTGGTAATCAGTTGGTGTGATTCACTATAATTTTCTGCAACCGGGCCAAACCATTATAGCAGGGGAGCTCACGATGCAAAATGGGGATCTACTCGAGCGTCATTGAGACATATTAGGTTACTACTATTACTGGAGTGTTTTCCCAACACCAAATCGCTATTTTTCAACACCTTGACACGTGTTTCGATCGCCAAGTGATCATATTCAAGAGGAAGATTAAACTAGAAATTATCGCGAAGCTTACGCTATTTATGCTATAAAGCAGGGGAGCCCACGATGCAAAATGCGGATTTACTCGAGCGTCATTGAGACATACTAGATTGAAAAGCTTAGATGATAAAGAAGAAAAAATGTTATATATTATATACCTTTTCATCAGTGGGGGAAGCGGCTATAGATTTTTAAATATGTATAAAAATACTGTTGCATGGACATACTCGAGCGCGGCAGATATTGATAGCATCAATGTCCTACATATTTTTAATAATGTTGGTATGTTAATCTGATCGTTTGCTACAGTAGAGTCCTATTGTAAGGAAAACGACGAAAAGTACCGAAAATTGCATCAGCAGTAGTCAGCACTAGTCACAGAAGAGTTCCGATCCTGCTTCACGACAACGCCCGTCCACGCGTTTCACAAATCACCATCCGAAACTCAAACGAATTGAGCACCGAAGTTCTGCCTCAACCACCATATTCCCCAGAATTCTCGGCAACCGACAACCATATGTCCAAGCTCTTCGTTAACTTCGTCAACTTAATCGAATCTCCAGCATACAATTTTATTGCTGACAGAGTCAATCGACTTGTGTCACGTTAGCGAAAGTGCACTGATTCAAATGACGCTAATTTCGAATTGAATTGAATGAGTTTGCTCTGAAATATTACAGCTAGAAGTAAATTCATAAAAACGGACAGAACTTTCGAAACAACCTACCGTATATCAAAGACCAAAGTCAAAGATCTCTGTTGTACATACAACTTATCAATTATAATTATATGAAAAGGGTTCATTAGGTAGATAATTAGATCTACATTAGTTCAGTTAGGTACAAAGTGAGTGGGTCTGTTCGACTTTCACCGCAACCCGCAAGGGTTCATTGTGGCTCACACCTATTCACATTCAGCTTCTTAACGAAGCCGATCAGTTCGTAGGGTGAGTGGTCTTTCAGGTCAGATGTTAAGAGTACGGCTCTGACGAACTCTAAAAACCTGATTTGGTCCCTACCGGGGCGGGCACAAAGTATGTGCTCTGTTGTTTTATCATTTTCCAGAAGCGACACACACTGTCTTCCGAGAGTCCGAGTTTCTGAATAAGATGATTCAGATGACAGTGACCTGTAAAAAGGTCTGTTAAATATCGTAGTTCATCCCTACTGAAGTCCAACAACTGTTTGGTATCAAGCTTCGATGGGTAAATAAACGCCTTGGAGTGAGCTAATCCTGGAAAATTCTGCTAGAAGTCCATGAATCTTCTTGCCATCCAGGTGTTCAATCTTTGTGTGGCAAAACCTAAGGCGGTGCCAATGACAGGATCTGGTCCGATAAAGCTGCTTGCAGCACCGTCCTTTGCAAGGGAATCAGCAGCCTCATTGCCTTCCAGGCCAGTATGGCCAGGAATACGGACCAGAGACAATCTATTGAGTCTTCCTATCGGGGATGAGTTGTTTTTGACAATTTGCTACCAATTTAGACGTTGTTCGGTAAGAGCCAAGAACTTCCTACACCGCTTGACTGTCCGAGAATATTTTTATTGACTCGTGTAGGAGGTTGGATTCGTCCAATCTCTCCGCACACAATTCAATAGCGTAAATTTCCGCTTGAAATATTGTAGCATAGGTTCCTAGGCAGGTTGATATCTTTGTCCTGGGTCTGCGACTGAAAACACCTGCACCGGTTCCGGTGCAGGTCCATCTGTGAGCCAAAAACTATCTGCTTCCAATATTTTCTTCCTCGGGAACATTACTTTATAAGTCAGTTCATAGTTGACAGTTGGAGGCATGAAGTCAGAGGTCATTTCCAGAATGCTGTGACTTCCAGTGTCAACCAACAATCTGTTATACTCTGCATTAAATTGATTTGTGCAATTGGCAAAGTGCACAAGTCTATATGCAGTCCATCTACCCTTTCTCTTCAGAAAACTGTGGAGAGGAGGTATATCTAGAAGGATCTCCATGGCCGCTGACGGTGTGGTACTGATGGCATCACTGATTGCCAGACAAGCCTGTCTTTGTAAGACAGAGAGCTTTGCCTAGCCAGTTTTTTGTAAAGCTCTCGGCCACCAAACAATTGCACCATAAGTGATCATTGGCCTGACAATCATCACATAAATCCAATGGATTTGTTTGGGATCTGAACCCTAAGTTTTACCACAAATCCTTCGACATGTCTATAGGGACAGTCTGGCTTTTTGTAAAGCTTTCTCCAAGTGAGCGTTCCAGGTGAGTTTTTCGTCAAGGACAATGATAAGATATTCCACCTCCCTTCCAAATGGAACGACCTCACCATTGAGAGAAAATGGCGTTAGATCGTTCAATTTTCTCCTCCTGGTGAAGGGAATTATCACAGTTTTACTAACAAGGTCATCTGCATCTGCATAGATCTACATAAGTAGATTCGCAATTTTTTTAATATTTTGGCGCATCAATATGTGGTGGGGGGATGGTCAACAAAGATTGCTTATTGTAACAATTATTTTGTCTTCAACCTATTACTAACCTTAATATTTCTTTCAGGTCGAACCCGAAGCGGAAGCAACTCCCAAAGGATTTTCCCATATAGAGGGGTTGCTTTGGATAACTCTAATTTCAACATTACTGGCGTTGGTTTCTTCGGTAGTTGAGTTTTCACTCTTCGTGCATAATTTGAGTAAAAAACTGAAACAATCATTCGGCCGCACATTTTTTCAGGAGCTGAGAGGTTCTTTCAGCCGCACGAAAAGAAGTCGAGAAATTGAGCCGATTCTACTGGGCAAGTTGGAAAATGAAAGAAATGCAACCCCTGAATCACTGGAAATGTCTTGAGATTGTCATTAAAAAGACACACCTGCTTGCTTTCGATAATAGATTGGTCGATTCTCCTTCCAGAATTTTGTTTTTTTATTTCGCCCACATCAACATTGTGTTCAGTAACATTCGAGCGTCAGAATTTCAAACAAAAGTGCAACTATAGAATAGTTTTCGTATAGTGAAATACGTGTTGCGTTTCCTAACTAACAATTAATACTATCTCAAAGGGTCACTTCTTCATTGCTCACCAAAGTACTTACCTTATTACGAGGGTGGTCCCAGAAGTACCTGGCCTGACCTAGAGATGGCGGTAGTTGTTTGAAAAAGTCAATGTTTTGGAAAGTGCAGAATCTATAAGGCATATGTTTCATCTTTGAAGACGCTGAGTTGTTTATAATTTCTTTGGCAGCCATCAATAGCGAACGTTTTTGGAGAATTTGTGAAAATGGAGAAAATTATTCATCGTTATGTGGTACAATACTTTTATTTGATAGGCCTCAGCCCAACCAATATGAAATCTGAACTGCATTCTACACTGGTTGAGTCTTCTTCTTCATTTACTACAGTGAAACATTGGGTAGCAGAGTTTGAACGAGGCTGTACGTGTTGCCAAGACGAGTATTGCAATGTTCAACAATGTAATAATTGCTATTGTTAACGAAAAATATCATTTTATTCATAGAGATCGAGGTCGATCACCCGGTTCTTCGGTGTCGATATTATTCCAGTTGAAAAAGCGCTTGAACTACTTTATGACTGTCGGAACTTCGAGCGTCATTCTGGTCATGTTCAAGTTGGGCTAGACTAAACAAATGAATATATAACATCCTGTAGATGATCATGCTTGGGAAGTCAGTCACCGGAGCCCGTCGAGACGAGATCGGGGGTCTCATCCCTCAGCCTTCGAGACTGAGGAAGGTGGCCTAAATAGGGGAGTTACTTCGTCTAAGCGCGTGATGCGAAATTTAAGGAAAAACGGTACTGAAATTGTAAGCCGGTATTTGGTACAGGGAAGTGTTGGTGTTGAACACACCGGTTCAACGGAACCTATGGTTGACCATGAAGCATGACCAGGAGTGTTGGTTTTTTTTTAATAATCAGTTGATATTGAGAGAGAGTTCACATATTTTATCTGAGTCCATTTTCTATTTGCAAAGAGGTTATATATTGTTGGGTTCCTAGTGCGGGTTGATTAGCTAGAGTTCATTTTACAATTATAAAAAAGGGCGATAATGTGAAGTTATACACCACTCTTTCCCAAAGTGAAAGTAAAACTAAAAGTATTTTCTACTGAGTTGGTGCATTTGTAGTTGTTCAACAGGTTGAATTAATAGTAAATAGCATGGTAAAATTGGCGGAGAATATAAGTAGGTATACCAAATAATCAGATTTCAAAAAGATCGGCCTTCGTGCGATCCGCACGAACCCTATATCCTTTTCGAAATAGCGCGAGCTAACAAACTCAGTAGGCATTTCAAAAAGTGCGGCATATCGTATATTATATGAGAATTTGACCATGAAATAACTGTGTACAAGATGAGTGCCGCGTTTGCCCAAACTCGAGCAAAAACAGTGTCTTGAATATGTTTTAATTGAGTTTTCAGCTAAGTTTCACAACAACAAAGCAGAGTTCTTGCATCGTTTCATAACCATGAATGTAACATGGGTCCATCACTTTACACCTGAGACAAAAGAACAATCAAGAAGGCGAAGACCGTGTAATATTCCATCCTGTATATGTTGTTTAACATGATTGTATGTCAAGTGGGCTGTGAGTTGTCATTTTTCTGATGAGCAGAGATAATTTTAAAGATAAAAAAGAATTGAAAGTAATTCTACAATTTCAAATTATATTCCAACACGAATATTACATTTGGCGACGAGAATAACAACCCACGTCAATAATGGAAAACATCAATTTGAATTTTGTATCATTTGATACTTAATTTGATATTCCACCCGGTTTGGGCGAATTGCATCATCTGAACAATTAACACTAGAAGAGCTTTTAGCAAAAGACAAAACATAATGGCTATTTCAAGCAAAATAAACAAGAAAAGTCAAAATGTCAAGCTAGAAATTTTGAATCTGTCAAATATAATAAAACGGAGAAAATGTGCAGAAACTGTGGCAATAACTGGCATGATCAAGATCCCAAGTTGATATGCCCAGCAAGAAATGCACAATGTAGAGGATGCGGGAAAAGGGACATTATCAAAAAGTTCGCATTACTACTGGAATGATGAAAATTTTTTCCGCACAACATTCCTATACATTTTATATTTCTTGTGGGAAAATAAATATTATTATTATTAAGAATAATCAACCAGAAATTGAACTTTTGAAATGTAGTAAATCATCACCAGAAAAGGCAGGGGTCATTGGTTTTTTGGGATGCGCCTGAGATAATTTTCATTGACTATCCCAAAAGAGGTAAAACTATAAACGGCGAACCTATTGCAATGTTCGAGTGAAGCAATCAAGCGAAAACGGCCACAGTCGGCTAAGAAAAACGTATTGTTTCATCAAGACAATGCGCCAGCTCACAAATCCATTATCGCAATGTTCAAAAGCAACGAATTAAAGATTGAATTGTTACTCATGCATCCTATTCGCCAGATTCAGCCCCTCGGATTATTTTCTGTTACCAAACTTGAATAAATGGCTCCGTGGTCAAAAATGTTCCAATAATGAAGAAGTGATGTGACAGTTAATGTCTATTTTGAGTAGCGAAACAGTTTTTATGATGAAAACTGTATCAAACTTATTAAACGTCGCTCGGAAAAGTATATAGAGCTGCAAGGAGATTATATTGAAAAATATATACTCTTTTTCAAAAGTTTTCTTCGTTGGGTCGGGTAATTCTGCGACCACCCTCTATTTTAATTAGGGACCAGGTAGTATTCGAAAGCATTTCGATCATTCCCTGGTCCCTATTTGAATTATTGAGGTGAGTAAGGTTAGGTTACGTCCAAATTGAGAGGGTTTATTCTCTGCATGTGATGATTCAAATGACAGTGACCTGTAAGAAGGCCTGTTAGACATCGTAGTTCATCTCTACTGTAGTCCAACAACTGTTTGGTATCAAGCTTCGAAGGGTTAATAAACGCCTTGGAGTGAGCCAATCCTGGAAAATTCTGCCAGAAATCCATGAATATTCTTGCCATCCAAGTGTTCAATCTTTGTTTGGCAAAGCCTAAAGCGATGCCAATGACAGGTTCTGGTCTAATGGAGCTGCTTGCAGCACCCTCCTTTGCAAGGGAGTCAGCAGCCTCATTGCCTTCCAGGCCAGTATGGCCAGGAATCCAGACCAGAGATAATCTGTAAAGTCTTTCTATCAAGGATAGTTGTTTTTGGCAATTTGCAACCAATTTAGACGTTGCCCGGTAGGAGCCAAAAGCTTCCAACGCCGATTGACTTGTGTATGAGGTTGGATTCTTCAAATCTCTCCGCACAGAATTCAATAGCGTAAATTTCCGCTTGAAATACAGTTGCATAGGTTCCTAGGCAGGTTGATATATCTGTCCTGGATATGCGACTGAAAACATCTGCACCAGAACCGGAAGGTGTTTTTGATCCATCTGTGAAGCAACAGCTATCTGCTCTTAATATTTCCTTCCCCCGTAGAATCCAGTTCTCTCTACTCGGGAACAGTACTTTATGAGGCAGTTCGTAGTTGACAGTTGGAGGCATAAAGTCGGAGGTCATTTACAGAATGCTGTGACTTCCAGTGTCAACCAACAGTGTATTGCACTCTGCATTAAATTCATTTGTGCAATTGGCAATGTGCATAAGTCTATATGCAGTCCATTTAGCCTCTCTCTTCAGAAAAATGTGGAGAGGAGGTAGATCTAGAAGGATCTCCATGGTCGCTGACGGTGTGGTACTGATGGCACCACTAATGGCCAGACAATCCTGTCTCTATGAGCTAGAGAACTTCGCCTGGGTCGTTGGTGAGCCAAAATAATAAGTGAACATAAAACATTTTCCATTTTTTCATTTTGCATCTTCCAATACCAGTGATAAGTCGAAAAAATAAAAATAACAATAAAAACCCTGATGATATCAATATTTATATTGTTCCTTTCAACTTAACAATGTTATTCACTTGAATTGATCAATTTGTATTTGAACGTGGGATACGTTTTCAACCTAAGAAGTTCCAACTCAGTTTGTAAAACAAGAATTTCATTATGATTCTTCTGAATGGCCTGGACTAAACAACTTCTCTTCAGTAAGGCGTCCATTCTGAAAAATATTCAAACCTGGCAATGAAACATTGTGTTGGTTGGTCTTCATAATTGGTTCCGAGAAAAAAGAGTGTATGTACAGGGTGTTTCCTATCTACGGTACGAAACTTCAGAGGGTGATTCGTTAGGTCGTTTTAAGAAAAAAAAGTTCCTATGAACGGAGTTGCTTCGTTTCTGAGATACAGGGCGTAGAAATTAAAATAACGGTATTTATAAAATAGGAAAAATATGATTACACCGATTTGGTTGAAATCTCCTACAGTTATTTGAAGTAATAAGGTCCAGTGGCATCTCAATACGCTCCACAGCCAACCATATCGAGAAAAAAAGCCACTGACTTTTGTGTAGTGTTTTAATTTTTTTAGATTAAGAATTAAAAAAAACAACTTTTTCGTTACAACTTCTTCGTAAACAATTTCAACCTTATAGTAAATGAGCAAAATGTCCAACTTCTAATAAAATACACGACTGCAATTGGTTTGTCATTGATTGTCTGACACGTTCAAAAATATCTGGAGTTTTTCTTATGACATTGCAATTGTCAATTATTGAATTCCTCAAGTCATTCATATCCAGTACAGAAGTTGTATAAACAAGAACCTTCAGATGACCTCATAAATAAAAATCTTAAGGATTCATATCATGCATAAATCACATGTTGCCTCTTACAAGTACCGGCACTTCTTTCGACAAAAAGTCCGTGTAGGATTCATCTGTTAATATTGCTGGTAAAAAAATGGGCCAATTGGGTAGTCACCAATCATTTCTATCCAAACCTTCAGCGAAAATGACATTCTCTGATAACGTGGGGACTTTCGTCGGCCCAAAAATGGCTATTGTGAAAGTTCATAATAGCATCTCGTGAAAATTTTGCTTCGTACGTAAATGAAATTTTTGGTAACGAATAATCATTTTGTGCCATCATATGAATGAACCACCTGCGAAACTTCAATCTTGGCTAAAAATCTTGAGGCAAAAGGGCTTTGACTTGCCATATGTGATATGGGTATACGAAGTTTGTTTTCAGAACTGTCCATAGTATTTTTGGGCTGACTTCCGGCTGCAGTGCTATCTTTTTGGTACTTTTTGAAGGATCTTCTTTTATCGCATCAAATATTCTTCTAGTTCAGGCGTTGTCACAGTTTCTAGTCTTCCACCACCTGCAGTTTCATCAAAACTCTCAGTTTCACAAAATCTTGCATATAGCGTTCTAACTGTTTCAGCACATAGAATTACTCTGTTCTTTTTCCGCATTTTCATTTGCTAATCCATAAATAAAGTGCATCTCAGCCATTTCTGCGTTAGTAAAATTATTGATGATGGAATCATTGCTAATTAACAACTCTGACTTCCACTGATATGACAACACTATCACTGTCAGCTGATCAAAGCAGGTGTTCATGATATGCAAAGTGGCTTCATTTTTCTCGTAAATGAAGCTGGATATGGAGAAAACACAAGCGACGAAAAAGTTACAAATTAATTTAGGCCTTCACAGTGAACTCTTGCAGTTATTAACTGATATTCTATAAAGAAAGTTTGAAGAACAAAATGTGATTTTATGAAATCAACTTGGTATCCTATTACTTTCATCTGTTTCATCATATTGATATGCTTTGAAGATTTTTTCAATTAGGATTGTAATTCTTCAGACAATAAAGAACTTTTGATTGATTCTCCTCCATTTCATCGTATAAATGAAAAACATTGTATTGATTGGCAGTTCGGCTGATCTTACCTCGATTTTACTACAGCATTCTCTCTACAGACAAGATCCAAGTCTTGTTGGAGCTTCAGATCGCAAACGTCTATATTTTTTTCCTGTATACTTTTATCCAAAGCAGCATTGTGATTCTTATAGGACTGAATCTGATTTCGTATTCGTCTCAACTTTTCTTTCCTGAATCTGATGTTATTCTCGAATGCTGCGCTTATCACCTCGATCTCTTGTTCGAAAGAGTCCATCTCAGTTTTATGACCTAAGCTCTTACCTTTCGAGTACATCTGCATTTCTCTGGTGAACTGAAAAAGTTTTTTATATTCAGCATAGGATATCACTGGAGTTCCGGAGTTTTATCCCAACATCAAACCGTTATTTCAACACCTCAACATGTGTTTCGATCACCAAGTGATCATCTTCAAGATTAAACTGTTTATTCTTCTTCTTGAAGATCACTTGGTGATCGAAACACGTGTCGAGTTGTTAAAATAATGCTTTGGTGTTGAGTAAAACTCCAATATTATTCATTACTACACCAACGGTTCCAAACACTGCATCACAAGTTCAGCATAGAACTCAAACTCTAAAAAAATATTTGTGATGACAGAAAGATTTATATTGATGATCATTTTTAATAATCCCGAAAAACAAGAATATTAATGACAGATAACATTTCAATGGTAACTAAAAAAAAATTTGAAAGTCTGATTGATCATTAAATTGTAAAGAATATTGATAATTTAATTATACTAACAATAGAAAACGAAAGGTGTAATATGGAGTTCAGAATTTCAATTAGAGGAAGAAATCATAAACTTAATCGTTTATATTTTTCCTAATTCATCTTTCTCTCTATTATACTCGTGCATGTCAACGCCTACATAGTATATTAATTTTTTCAATCCCAAGAAGCTGCAATGGTTTATTCAGAGAATTATTCATACAAAAAACATATATACATAAATATATAACTTCAAAGGAAGCTATTTCAGAATTGGTTCAATAACAAACATGATTACAAACATGATCATAAGTATGATCACGTTAATTGATGAAAATGGTTTACCATTAGGTTAGATTAGGTTAGGATAGGTCCAAAGTGAGTGGTTCTATTTGACCCTCAACCGCAACCCGAAAGGGTTTATTGTGGAGCACACCTATTCACACTCGACCAAATGAACCCAGCTTCTTAACGAAGTTAGGAACTCTGCCGAACTCTAAAAACCTGATTCGGACCCCTGCGGGGCACGTACAAATTATGTGCTCTGCTGTTTTATTTTTTTCCAAACAGAGGTGTCAGTAGTCCAACAACTGTTTGGTATCATGCTTCGAAGGGTGAATAAACGCCTTGGAGTGAGCCAATCATGAAAGATTCTGCTTGAAGTCCATACATCTTTTTGCCACCCAGCTGTTCAATTTTTGTTGAGGCCTGAAGCGATGCCAATGACAGGTTCTGTTCCGATGAAGCTGCTTGCAGTACCCTCCTTTGCAAGGGAGTCAGCAGCCTCACTGCCTTACAAGCCAGTATGGACAGAAATCCAGGCCAGAGACAATATGTTAAGTCTTTCCATCGAGGAGAGCCGTTTTTGGCAATTGCTACCGATTTAGACCTTGCTCGGTAGGAGCCAAAAGCTTCCAACGCCACTTGACTGTACGAGATTTTAATGACTTGTTTATGAGGTTGGATTCTTCCAATTTCTCCACACATAAGTTTCGCTCCACACATGAAGTTTCATTTGGAATACAGTCGCATAGGTTCCTAGACAGGTCTGTCCTGGTTATGCGACAGAAAACACCTGCATCCATCTGTGAACCAACAACTATCTGCTCTTAATATTTCCTTCTTCAGGATGATCCAGTCCTCTCTACTCGGGAACAGTACTTTATAAGGCAGTTCGTAGTTGACAGTTGCAGGTATGAAGTCAGAGGTCATTTCCAGAATGCTGTGACTTCCCGTGTCAACCAACAGTCTGTTGCACTCTGCATTCAATTGATTTGTGCAAGTGGCAATGTGCACAAGTCTGTATGCAGTCCATCTAGCCTCTCTCTCCGGAAAAATGTGGAGAGGGGAAGATCTAGAACGATCTTCATGGCCGCTAACGGTGTGGTACTGATGGCACCACTGATTGCCAGACAAGCCTGTCTCTGTAAGCCAGAGAGATTCGCCTGAGCCGTTTTCTGTAGAGTGTTCGGCCACTAGGCAATTGCCCCATAAGTGATCATTGGTCTGACAATCATTACATAAATCCCATATATAGATTTGTTTGGGATCCAAACCCCAAGTTTTACGACAAATCCTTCGACATGTTCATAGAGACAGTCTGGCTTTGTGTAAAACGTTTTCCAAGTGAGCGTTCCAAATGAGTTTTTTATCAAGGACAATACCAAGATGTTTCACCTCCGTTCTAAATGGATTGACCTTACCATTGGGGAAAAGTGGCGTTAGATCGTCCAATCTTCTCCTCCTAGTGAAGGGGATTATCACAGTTTCGCTGGGGTTGACAGACATTTGCTCCCTCAGGCACCAACTGAGAACAACGTCCATCGTGCTTTGGAGGAATCTATCCTTCCCGACGTGGACCTTGCCAAGATGACAAGGTCTTCTGCATGAGCTTGCAGATCTACTTTTCTTCTGTCGAGAGCATCGAGCAGACTATTTATCAGAAGCGGCCACAGAAGGGGAGATAGTACCCTACCTTGAGGGCACCCTCTGGTAACCCTGAACCTGAAGGCCTCGCCTTGAAGAGTCGTAGTCGCAGTTCTGTATGCAATTATTCCTTCATCAAATATAGTTTTTGTGAAAAATGCAGATTTGAGATTTTTTGTTACCTTGTGGAAGGGTAGATTTTTGAAACTTACCCTAACGCTTTCTATATCACGAATGCGTTCTATGAGGTCATTGATTTCCATCCTATGTTTCTTATGAACCCACTCTGTAGCCATTATCTTTCTCCTGAATGCCATATTCTGCATCATGGTGTGCAATTTTTTATCTCCTGCTTGCTGAAAAACCATTTGCAGTTATAAGTACCCAGTGGATGATTTCGAGAAATATTTCTGCTGAGATAACCGTAACGTTTCTACAAATAGAATAAAGGGGAACTTAATTGAAACCACAATTACAATGAAGAAAAGATCTCACAAAAGCATTCAAATTAAAAAAAAAAATAATTCAGAATCAATTTTGTCAAATATGGAAAATAGTCATGAAATAATTCAAATTCATTCGAGGAAATACATGAATTTCAACCTAAACTTCAATATTCTAAATCCAAAACACTCAATATCCACAATTTCATCTTTTAATATTCCAAGTTCATAGATATCAAAATTGACATGAACACAGGATATAGAAATATAAAACAATCTCCAAATACGCAACGTTGCACGGATGCGTATTGAGCATTTTACCTTAGTAAGGTGACCAGAGGAAAGTTGTAACCTCGGCATATGAATCTTTATGAATATTAAGGGAGGTAAAGATCACACGGAGAAAGTATTGAGTATTCAGAGTATATTCAGAAACGGTTGCAGAGCATTTGTAGAATGCAGCATATCTCTTTTTCTTCGATCCTGCTGGGTAGCAGTATACTGTAAGTTTTTGGTGATTCTTATCTAGCTATTCAATGTTAGTTCATCCCTGAGCGTATTTTTCTCGTTTTTTTTTATAATAAATATTTTATTAAGATCTCAAATGAGTTCTTTTTTCATTTGGATGAATGAGGGTTGAGTGGTACAGCAATAAATTCTCTCGTAATAAGCAAAGAGAGTACTGAGTACGACAATATTGCAAGTTTTCTAAAATAATGTGTACCTTTCAAAAATTATTGACTAAAAAGTTTCGAACTCAACAATAATCCAATAAACGATAAGAGATAGAGTGTCGGTTGAATTATGACAAAGTTGTGTATTTCAGAGACCTATTCAATGATGTGAAGGAATCGAATATAGCTCTTTTGGTTCTGGAGATATACAGGAAAAACAAAAGAAACCCAAATTATTTTTTTACCTATATCTTCTTTATTCGCAGACATATTGAAAATCTGTCCACATTTTGCTATTAGCACTTGATTTGGGCTCTCAGAATATATCCATGAATCTTTTATACAGGGTGTCATGACATTTTTTGGTTTTTCCTGTATATCTCCAGAACCAAAAGAGCTATTTCCGATTTCTTTACATCATTGAATAGTTCTCTGAAATACACGACTTTACCACAATTTAACCGACACACTATCTCTTATCGTTTACAAGATCCCCATGTACAGAAACGAATTTGAATAGCCCTGTATATTCGTACGGAAGGAAGGAAAAGTTTTTACTTTTGATTCAGAATATTTGTCAACGCCACCACAATCTCATAAGCAACATGTATGGAAAAGAGAAGTATTATTTAGTTATTTTGGACTTCTTTTTTTTTGGAATCGACCTGCGGTCTCGGCCAAAAATTAACATTTCCATGTGTAACTAAAAAACACTTATTTTACGCACTCGATACAAAAATAAATATTTCAATTCAATCCGGAATTTTTCAAAGCAATTGTTTGAATAACTTGTCGAATGGTTTTTCAGAAACTATCAATTTTGTAAGTCAAATTTGAATATTTGAGCTTAATTTTGACCAAATGAATGGAGGTACATAATTTAAATTTGTGTGAAGATGACTAATTTCATAGTTTTCGTGGTTTATTAATTGGTTTCTATAACTAGTTTTTTGACACTCCCTATACTAATATTAGGTATTGAATTTCTGAATAAACTAACAAAAAATATATCAATTCAAGGCATTTCAACGGCACAATCTTTTTCCTTTTGAATGAAATTCTGATTATTAGACCAAAAAAATTCACATGAATAGATTATTTAACATTTTCATTGTGAAATTCAATTGAATCTTTTGAATCAACTGGTATAGACATTTTCATTATAAATATATACAAAGATTTCTGAACAGTCAGTGACGTTTTATGATCTTTAAGCTATAATTAATATATAATCGAAGTGGTGTCATCAGCATACATTAGTAATTTTTTCAAAAACTCCACTGTAGCCAACGAATTGAAATAAGTAAAAAATAAAACAGATCCCAAAATTGATCCTCACGGTACCTCACATACATTTTTTGAACTAACTATGTCGCATGTATATATACATATTGCTTCATATGCCTGCTTTTTGTGTTTTTTTTATGTAAGTAATTATCACATATACTAAAACCAATAATGATTGAGAGTAGAAGTAAGCCCAGTTGACAGCAAATCGGGGGCGTGCTTATTAATTTTTGAGATTATATTACTGTATGATGTCGTTAAGCGATTTCCGGCAAAACTTAACCTACGAATTTGAATTGAGCCAAATGCAACCACGCATTTGGCAACGAGATTGCTTTGTAATTCTCGTTCCGAAGATTTCAACTTCGAAGATAAATCACGAAGTGTTTTTCCTGACGATTTGAGCATCATTGTGGAGACTGACGGTGCGCGGGATAACGGAAGAACTGGGTGTCACCTCCCATGCGGTTTTTGATGGTTTAGGATGCATTGGAAAGGTCAAAAATCTCAGAAAGTGGGTGCCAAACGACAAATTTTCACGTTTCAAGGTATAAAAGATCCTTTTATATGTCAATGACAGGATCTGGTCCGATAAAGCTGCTTGCAGCACCCTCCTTTGCAAGGGAATCAGCAGCCTCATTGCCTTCCAGGCCAGTATGGCCAGGAATCCAACCAGAGATAACCGCACTTGGAGTTATACNGTTTTCGTATAGTGAAATACGTGTTGCGTTTCCTAACTAACAATCATTACTATCTTCTTTATTGCTCACCAAAGTACTTACTTTATTACGAGGGTGGTCCCAGAAGTACCTGGCCTGACCTAGAGATGGCGGTAGTTGTTTGAAAAAGTCAATGTTTTGGAAAGTGCAGAATCTATAAGGCATATGTTTCATCTTTGAAGACGCTGAGTTGTTTATAATTTCTTTGGCAGCCATCAATAGCGAACGTTTTTGGAGAATTTGTGAAAATGGAGAAAATTATTCATCGTTATGTGGTACAATACTTTTATTTGAAAGGCCTCAGCCCAACCAATATGAAATCTGAACTGCATTCTACACTGGGAGAGTCTTCTTCTTTATTTACTACAGTAAAAAATTGGGTAGCAGAGTTTGAACGAGGCTGTACGTGTTGCCAAGACGAGTATTGCAATGCTCAACTATGTAATAATTGCCATTGTTAACGAAAAATATTATTTTATTCATAGAGATCGAGGTCGATACCCGGTTCCTCGGTGTCGATATTATTCCAGTTGAAAAAGCGCTTGAACTATTTTATGACTGTCGGAACTTCGAGCGTCGTTCTGGTCATGTTCAAGTTGGGCTAGACTAAACAAATGAATATATAACATCCTGTAGATGATCATATGCTTGGGAAGTCAGTCACCGGAGCCCGTCGAGACGAGATCGGCCTCGAGACTGAGGAAGGTGGCCAAAATAGGGGAGTTACTTCGTCTAAGCGCGTGATGCGAAATTTAAGGAAAAACGGTAGTGAAATTGTAAGTCGGTATTTGGTACAGGGAAGTGTTGTGTTGAAGACACACCGGTTCAACGGAACCTATGGTTGACCATGAAGCATGACCAGGAGTGTTGGTTTTTTTTTACTAATCAGTTGATATTGAGAGAGAGTTCACATATTTTATCTGAGTCCATTTTCTATTTGCAAAGAGGTTATATATTGTTGGGTTCCTAGTGCGGGTTGATTAGCTAAAGTTCATTTTACAATTATAAAAAAGGGCGATAATGTGAAGTTATACACCACTCTTTCCCAAAGTGAAAGTAAAACTAAAAGTATTTTGTACTGAGTTGGTGCATTTGTAGTTGTTCAACAGGTTGAATTAATAGTAAATAGCATGGTAAAATTGGCGGAGAATATAGGTAGGTATACCAAATAATCAGATTTCAAAAAGACCGGCCTTCGTGCGATCCGCACGAACCCTATATCCTTTTCGAAATAGCGCGAGCTAGCAAACTCAGTAGGCATTTCAAAAAGTGCGGCATATCGTATATTATATGAGAAGTTGGCCATGAAATAACTGTGTACAAGATGAGTGCCGCGTTTGCTCACACTCGAGCAAAAACAGTGTCTTGAATATGTTTTAATTGACTTTTCAGCTAAGTTTCACAACAACAAAGCAGAGTTCTTGCCGTAGTTTCATAACCATGAATGTAACATGGGTCCATCACTTTACACCCGAGACAAAAGAAAAATCAAAACAGTAGACTCAAAGGGGAGAACTGGATCCAAAGAAGGCGGAGACCGTGTAATGTTCCATCCTGTATATGTTGTTTAACATGATTGTATGTCAAGTGGACTGTGAGTTGTCATTTTTCTGATGAGCTGAGATAATTTTAAAAATAAAATAAGATTTAAAAGTAATTCTACAATTGGAAATTATATTCCAACACGAATATTACATTTGGCGACGAGAATAACAACCCACGTCAGTAATGGAAAACATCAATTTGAATTTTGTATCATTTGATACTTAATTTGATATTCCACCCGGTTTAGGCGAATTGCATTATCTGAACAATTAACACTAGAAGAGCTTTTAGCAAAAGACAAAACATAATGGCTATTTCAAGCAAAATAAACAAGAAAAGTCAAAATGTCAAGCT